TTTAGGGTTTAGGGTTTTATGGTCTAGGGTTTTAGGGTTTAGGGTTTAGGGTTTAGGGGTTTACGGGTTTAGGGTTTAGGGTTTAGGCATAATCACCTATACTACTTTGGGGGTTCCTTACTTTAGTTTTACTATAATAGACCCCAAAAGCCTGTTCTAATTAGTAAGGCCCCTACATTAATGCCAAGAAGGTCCATATACACTACGCTTATGGAATTAGGTCTACAAAACCATAATAGGGATGGTCTTTTGCGACCTAATTCCACACTGGTAGTATATATGGACTCTCTGCGTACTCTGGGTGTATAGGGGCCTAATAGTTAAAACAGGATTTTGGGGCCCATTATACTACTTTTATACTAAGGAACACCAAAGTAGTATAGGTAATTATTCAGGCTTCTACATTAATGACACTTCATCCTCAAAATATGAAAATCCGAACTCCTCAAGCCTTCAGGCTTCGTCGACCCTGACTTTCAGGAAAAGAGAGGATCGTAGTAGAGGCCCCTACCCGTCTTTAGGGTTTAGGGTCCAGGGTACAGGGTTAGTTTGAAAGGCCCTCGAAGAAATGTCACCGGCTTCTTTTTTAAGAACAGTTCAGGCATCCCAGTACCTTAAACTCGAACCCTTGAACCACCAGCGCCTCCGACACCCGACACCCTACATGCTTCGCCCTAAACCCTAAATCCTAAACCCTTCTATCTAGGACAGTTTCAGGTGGGTAGTTACCGTTATAGGAGCCTGCATGCATGCAAGCCTTATAGAAGCCCTATATACCCCAAACTCCCCACCCTGTAGTTTCCTTTCTGGTAAGAAAAGGTTTCTCGGGCCGGCTTTGCAACGCCGGAGCGTTTCCAAGAGAGGCTGGTGGACTTCGCCCGAAGCTCTCTGGCATTTTAGGGCCTTAAGATTGGGTGAATTTTCTGGTTTAGGGCTTCAGGTTTTGGTTTTAGGCACCTTCTCCAAAATATACAGGTCCCTGTCTGCCTTGCCTACAAAGGACAATCTTGGGCCTGAACGTGCCCCCCCCCCCCCTAAACCCTAAACTCAGGCATCGACCGTGCACCTACTGTGGGTGGGCGGCGCTTAAACCGATCAAACCTAAACCCTGCACACCCTAGATCCGACACCCTAAGCCCTAAACCCGAAGCCTTGAACTATAAAGCCGGGAAGCCGGTACCTCTACCAGTGTTTCCTGACCACCCAGGACCAATATTGCCTGAACCTACACGTCCTGCTGTACAGCACAGTTGTTTTGGTTGCGGCGCCGAGCTTCTCATAGGCAGCGTCATCTTCAATGTCGACGGGCGCAAATGACACCACTGGAAGCGTAGCTCCTCAAGCAGTTACCTCTGCCAACACTTCTGTCTCGCCGCCCAAAGCCAATATCGCCTGCCTTTCTTGCCACGGTTGTTACCTGCGTATCCTGCTCCAATTTCTTCCGCCTGGACGACACAGTCTTCAACTTGGTCTCTCGGATGACCTCAGTCTTCTTGCGAATTCCGTCTTCCAGGCGGCATCTTGCGTTCACCCCAAGCGGCAGGGTTGAGATCCAGCCGGGCCCGCTTGCGCTTGCACCCGTTGAGAGATTTGCAAGATCCGCAAGTTATGTAATTCCCACGGAGCACGAGTAGCGGCCGGGCTTGTGCTCCCCCACACCTGTGCACCGCGGACCGCAGCCGGTCGCCACGCCACTCTTGGGCGTCAAATTTTTTGTTCGGGTTCAGTTTCTTTTATTGATTTCCCAGTAATACTTAAGCATCTTGCATGTTGGGGGGGAGGGGGGTCGGGTGGGACCAGGGGGTTCTTCTCATTCATGAATCATACAATAGAACAGCGGAAAAGCAGAAGTCGGAAGAACAAGTACGATTATCCCTAGGGCCTCAGGGTTTCCATAGTATAACGAACGTATGTCACCCGAAAAGCCTAGTTCAATTTCACGGCCCCTCCATTATTTTTTCAATCAAAGGGGAGACAGAACAAACCCAGGCTACTCCGACTCGGCGACAATCACGGTTGAACGAGTTTCTGCAAGAACGCCAAGCGACAGCACAGCAGACAACAGAATTGAAACATCTTTTTTGGAGGAAATCCAAAGTCTAGAGACCCGCAAGTCTTGCACAATCAAGGTTCTGGATTTCCGCTCAAGTTTGAATAATTACCAATAAAATTCGTTAGGGTCTTCACAACATCTGTAGCACAACCTACCCCAACCTCCTATTCTAATCGTTCACGCCCTGCACTACAACGACCTCGCACTGCACATTTCTGTTATCGTTCTCCGAGGTGGTTATTTGTTCAGGTTCCCCGTGTTATTCCCTTTTGCTTCGGGAACTCCCGACGTCAGGCCAGAACCTCCACATGTGGTTTCCCCTAGGCCCTAGGTTCTCTTTCCCCTAATCCTTTAGAAGTACACCCGATGAGTTCAAACTTAGACCCTTCGCCAATTTCTCCCGACACAATCAAACCCATACTCCGAAACTCGAAACCCCACATGCTTCCGTTGGCCCTAGTTGTGCTCCCCCCCTTCGCTTTTTCTGAACCCTGAAGCCGTATCCCATACCCTAAACCCTAAACCCT